GCAGCCCTCACGCACTTTCAAGGTAGTGCCGCTGCCGTCTGGGCACTGAAAGTGCAGCACATCTGGCAGTTTAAGCGGGCCCACCACATCAGCAGCCGTAGTGTTCCCGATTCCCTTAAATACGGCACCTTCTGGCGAACCCTCCCCGCGCACGCCCTCACTGAGGCACAGCGAGAGGGCCACCAAGCCCAGTAGCACACGGCGCAGCGCCGTCCTCGTGCCCGCCATCCGTCGAAGGTCCTGATTTCGCTTGCTGTGCGGCTGTGTTGCCAAGCGGAAGCAGATGTGGCTAAGCGGAAGCAGAAGATAGCAACAAAAAGAAAAAGCAGAGGCAGAAGCGTGCGCCACGGCAAAGAGGCGGCATTTATTTCCATCGTTTTGAACGAGAAACGGAACAAGGAATGAATAGTGTCAGGTGCCGAAAACAGTGTGAAAGTTCATGGAGGGTGGAAATGGTGGTTTCGCCTTGCACTGCGTCCTTGTGAGCTCCTTTGGAGTTGTGGTGACGCGGAATGTACTGCGGGAGGCTCATGCGGGAAGTGGTCTGTGTGCTTCATACATTCTCGTTACTCTTTCTTCCAACGGCAAGAGGAATAATAAGAAGAAAAAAGGTGCACGCTACAGGTGAGGGCCTATAACGCAACCAGCGGACAACACCAGTGAGCCTGCAGACCCCGAGCGAGCGTAATCACAGACGCCAGAAGAAAACAGTAGTCGAATGGTATCACACGTTGGTCCAGCATTACGAGCCTTACACGAAGAGAAAAGCGCCACGTATTTAAGGTCTCAGCGGGCCCCAATGTGCGAGGCACTCAAGACACGGTTCATCCAAAGGCCGTCGCCCAAGTGGTGGATGTTTTCGATGCAGGGGCCGCTATTTACTTTTTCGATCTCCTCCGAGGACATCAGTGTCATCCCTATCGCCACGGCGTGCTCCTTGGACTCAACGTACACCGCCACCACCTGACCGGCAGGGATGTTCGGTGTGATGTAGCCGCCTTTGGAGGTGAGCCCCGGGCACATGATGTTTGCCCCGGAGACGACGTATTTACAGGCCCCAATGTCAACTTGGTGACGCTGAAGCATGAACGGGTACTTGTGAAGAAGTTTAAGGTGTGGGATGTATGGCCCATTGTGGTGGTTAAAGAAGAGGACCTCCGGTTGCGCACTGACAAGCGTGACGCAGTGGACCTGATCATGGCAGCGCACCAGCATGATATCCGTCTTTTTGGGCATGATCTCTTCCCAGAATTCTTCCAGCTGCGGGTACTGCGCGGCCAAATCCTTTCGCACCTGCGACTGCTCCTTGTGGCTGCTGTTCGCAATTTGTGCGACATTCTGCAGCGTAAACTTTTTAAATAAGTCCGCTGACGACATTGCGGGGACCTCGCTCCCTAACTGAAAATATTTTTCGTGTGAACGCAAGCTAAATCAATTGCGGCAGCGCACGAGAAGTGAGAGGAAAGGATAAGCATGAAGGCAAACTGCCACTGTATACAAGAGCAACGCCAAATGCCTACATATCTATGCTGCCGAAACCAGAAGCTGATACTCAACTATGGCTGTGGCGATACACACAGACACACACAAGGCACGCCATCGGCATGACGGGCACGGCATCGCTGCAGCAAAGTCGGGTGCAAAAACAGAACGTATGGAGGCGGATACGGAAGACTCACTGTAAGTGTCAAAACGACTTCAGCGTAAAAAAGTGCTTCATTCTCCCCCCCCCCCCCAAACTCAGGCCTCTCCGGCCAGGCCTCCGCCACTGTTCAGGGCAAAAGTGAATTTGCCTCGGCGGTCCCCACAGCCTTTGTGCCTGACTCCATCAAGAACGAGCTCCGGAATGTGTCCATACACTGCTCGGCTCGCCGGACCATCGCCTCAGTTCGCTGCAAACTACTTTCAACGGCGCTTTCAAGGGAGCGGCACGCTGCTTGACTCGTTGCCGCGATTTGCGTCTGCGCCTCTTTTATTTCCTCGTGGAGGGCATTCAAAATACTGGCAGGAATTTCTGCGCCCCCCACCGTATTAGGGCGCCCGTTGGCCGGGGACAGTGGAGCAGCACGGGTACCCTCTTGCCGCAACTGCAGCAACGTTGCACATTCGTCACAGTGTTCTCGCCTGCCTACACGCATCGGCTCCTTGCCGTTGAAAAACGAATTGTTAAGGGCGCCACCGCCACCAATGGATGGGCAATCGTGCACGTGCCGCTTCTTGTTTGCTTCGTCTTGAGAGCGATGACGCGTGGACACGTCTTCCCAGCTGGCACGCGGAATTTCGTCTGCGCAGCGTTGGGCATAATCGGAATGGCGCGGCAGCGGAACAGTCGGCGGCGATGTTGACACAAAGGGGCCTTGCTGTTGCTGCCGCTGCTGCTGCCGCCGCCGCTCCTTTGCAGCCAGCTGCTGCGGATCTTCATTTGGTCGTGCGGCGAAGAGGGACATCGTCTCCCTCAGCCGCTGACGCTCAAACGCGAGGTCCCTTTCAAGGCATCGTATGGTTGACTCGGCCTGGGTGAGGCGGTGCTCGAGGCTTCGAGAGGCAAGCTGCATGCCGTCACGCTCCTCCCGCAGCGTGATGGCTTCTTGACGGGACGTCTCCAGTTTTTTCTCGAGCCCCTCCACGTACTGCAAGTTGATCTGCCGCACCGCGGCGCCGCTTTGCTTCTCCACTAGCTCCTCCTTGAGCACCGACTGCGACCAAAGGGTGAACTGCAGGGCAAGCTGCAGGACACTGAGGAGCTGATAAACATCCGCCGTGCCCGTGGTGGGCGACGTCGCACTGGCGAGGCTGCAGTCGGAGAGAAGAGAAATTAAGTTCTTCATCAAATGCAGGTCCGGCTCCTGCACGCGGTGCGCCGCCACATCGACGCTGCGCAGGTGCGTCCACGGGATCTCACGGGCACTGGTGGCGTAGCGGAACGCCCGTAGTCGGTCCGCCACGCTCATTCACCCTCCGCTGCCGCCTGCTTCAACGAACGCGTGCTGCGCGGCTCGAAGTATTCCCGCCGCGTGCAATTTGGCCCCGCCCTCGTCGCAAAAGTCGCCGCCACCGACACACGCGTTCCGTTTCTCTTCAACTCACGACTGTTTTTTTTTTTTTGCGTGTGTGTGGTTTCATGGCAGGCGGGGAGAAAGAAAGGGATGCAGGCGAAGAGGTTGGAGCCGCTGCGCGGAGGCGGGAAAAAAGACGGACCGCAGGGACGCCCCGCACCCCAAAACTTGGCAGTCGCGTCGAGCGCCTGACAGCACGCGGTTCAAACGAGTCACACAAACACGGAAGCGAGCACAGGCAACTAAAACTGGGGCAAAAAAAAGGAGGAGGTGTTCTCCCCCGTTTCCTCCACAACGTAGACGAAGCACACGGACAGACAGACCGACAGAAAAGAAGTGGGGTGCGCCAGCGGAGAGCCGACTACGTCTCACGTTTACCTGCAAGGGCGCTCGCAGCTCCTGTAATGGCGCTTGCGCCACCCTTCACGGTTTGGCCAACGGCGTAAATTCCCTTCCCCACTCCCTTCGCCACCAACTTGCCGGCCTCCTCGATGCCTGCGAGGACTTGATTGGTGTTCGCCTGCTCCGCCGCCGCGGCGGCCTCCTTGCGCTCGATCCACAACAAAAGCTCGTCGGCAATCTGCTTCGGCTGCAACGGAAACCGCTGCGCCGCGGAAATGCCGCTAATGGCGGTGTCAATGCGCTTCTGCCAGAGAGGAATTTGTATTGCGCAGAGTAGCTCAAATTCACGCACGCAGTCACGCAGAGCGGCGAAATCGCTGGCGGCGCCGTCACGGCAGCCGCCACGAATTGCGGCCCCCAGATTCGCCTGTGTCGTGATGGCGGCGTGGGCGACGACGGTACCCAACACACTGCGCACCACCGACACCTGCAGAACCGCCGTTAGCTTCGGGATCATGGCAATAACGTACTCCATCGCCTCCGGGAGGCCCTTCTCAGCGTCGTCCTTGCCGCTCGCCCTTGTCGCCGTTGCCGACGCCGTTGTCGACGCCGCGGCACACCGAACCTCTACAAGTCTCTTCCAGTAGTCCAGGTTCGCCACGGGCCGCAGCCGGTCTTCTGTCTCTGCGGTGAACGCGCTGAGGAGTCGTTCAATGCCCTTCTGCACAGCCTTTGCAAAAAGCGTTGCCGAATTGGCTAGCAGCCGTGGCGCGCCGAGTGTCTCCCGTTTGCCCTCGTCATAAGCGACGTGCCACGCAAGTACAAACTGCTGCTCCACGCAGGAGACAATCACGCTCATCGTTGCGCACGAAGTCACGTACACCGCGAGCTGCATCACGGCCCGCTCGGCGACGGTGGCCAAGTGTCCCTGCAGCAGTTCTGCCACGGTTCTAAACAGCACAGAGAGGTACTTGAGAAGCATCTCATCCACATTGTTGAGCTCGGACTGCCGCACCACCGCGCCCTCGTCCACCACCAGGATGGAGTGGCACTGTGAGAGAAACCTTAACGCCACCTCACCAATCACAGGAACCATGAGGGCGTAGGGCAGCGTCACAACTCCTGCAGTAAAGTCAGGTGAGGGCGGCAGCGGAAGCTCAATGGACTTACAACGATCTAAGTAAAACCGTGTCACATACGCGTGATACTCGTCGGGAGTCGTAGCCGTCAACGGCGAAAGCGTGTCGGTGAGGACGCCCTGAGTTGCCTCCACGCAGGCTTCCTGCAACCACGAGCTGATAATGCTGTCACTCATGGACTCCACAACGAGCGACAGTATGAGAGGACTCAGCCGCACACTCTTGACACAGTCCACCACAATACCGAGAGAGCTGCGCAGGAGCCGAAAGACATCCATCATCCGCGCCGTGTAGTTGGGGTCGCTAACAAGTAGCGTGGAGACGTGTCTTGCTCGATCCGCCATGGCCTGCGACAGCTTTTCCCACATGCAGATGATTTCTGTCGTTGACTGTACATGCGGCTCAGTGATGTTGTGCACAATATCCTCGATGAGCACAAAACCCAATGCCGTCGCGCAGTACTTTTCTAATTCCGCCACGAGAAGCTCCCCACTGAGCGCCTCGGAAAACATGGACAGCTCATAAAGGTCCAGCTTCGCCTGCTGCGTACGACTTTCGGCGTAATAATTGCGGTAGTACATCCCATGGCGAAGCTCCTCAAACACCTCTTGTATTGAGGCTCCATACAAAATATTTGAGATACTAGACGACTCTGTGAAGGGGGCGCGCCTAATGCAGGCTCTTACGTAACTCATTTCTACCCACCATTCGCCGTCGTCCGAAACTCGCAACTTCTTCTCTACTGAGCCAGTTTGCACAGCCCCCTCCCACTTTAGAGCGGCAGCGCCAATAGGCAATGAGGAGTCTCGCAACAGCTTCAGCCATGCATTGAAGTCATGCACGGCAGCTGTAAAGATGTCCTGCGATAGCTGTGGCACCCGGTGATGAATCACATACTCGCCGAGCGCGTATTCGGCGAACGGGGCAGCTACCCGCATAAGCTGCTTCAAGGCCACCACGGCCCCCAGCAACTGCTGTTTCTGCACCCGTGTTTCCACCGTCTCCAGAATCTCCGCCAACTCCAGCGTGCTGCGCAGTATGGACCCAACCTGCGCCAAGTTTTGCTTGACACAGCGTGACAAGTTGAGGTCGGCCGCCGACCGCTTCATCTCCAACACGGAGGAACGGGTAAGTGTGGTGGCACCACTTAGCTCCTGGCCCACCAGCTCGGCGTCCTGCTCCGAAATGGAAAAGCACTGCCGTGCCGCATGGAGGAAGGCTGGATAATGACTCTCGCAGAGCTTCTCCACCTGTCCCTCATTTTCCTTTACAAAGGCTGCGAGATCCTCCTGCAGAATGTCCTCCTCGTTGCGAAGATATGCATTCTTTAGTGCGGTGTAATCCGTAAACTCCCCATCCACCAAAGATGCCACAGCAAGGTACCTTGATGGGGCTTTCTGAAACAGGCTGTTTGACTCACCTTCCCGTGGCCGCTGCAGAAGGACTTGCTGTTGCCCCCACATGGGGCCAGCGTCATCCTCGCTAACTTCACTGTCAGCACCACTCCACTCATCCTCCGCTTCCTTCGCTTCCTGCGGCGCATTCGGTGCGGGATGACTTTCGTCGTTTTCCAACTGCTCCGCGCGCAGTCGTGCGCCCGCAGCAAGCTTTTGTAGCCACCGCTCCGTATCCGTCGCCTCCAGCACGGAGGCACACTCAATTTTTGCCGTCGCGAACTCCGGGTCCTCCTCGTCTACTGCGGCGGGCACACCTTGGCCCGAGTTCTGCAGCTGCTGCACCTGCGACAACCCAGCCGCCCCAATGCAAATGGTATTTTGAGTAGAGCTGACTGTCAGCAGCCTATTCTGCCACCTCGCGTAAAACGAGATTCCCTTTGCCTTGATTAGGTACACATGATAGGGTGTTGCGACGAGAAACACCTTCTTCAGTTTGCCGTGGCGATGAAGACGTAGGGGCTCTTTTGTGTGGTAGAGAATATGCGGACTATCGCCCATGTCCCGCAAAATAGTTTGCACCTTCTCATTGTGCTCGGCGTCTGTTCCTACCTCCATGCTACGCTTACTCTTTCTGCAGGGCGGCCGCGCCCTCCCTCCCTCCGCCCCCCCCCACGATGCACCGAGTATCGGCCTCAGCAACGCCAAGGAAACAACGAGGGGGAAAAAAGAAGAAGAAAAAGGGCAACAATGCCTTGAAGTATATTACACCAAGGCAGAAAACGTAAGACGCCCATCACCATCACCACCACCCAAGTTCCACCCCACACCTCAACTTCTCTCTCTCATTCTCTCCCTTGGCTTGTTGTTGTTGCTGTTTCTGCTGCTCGCTTCGGAAGTAATTCGCTGGTTCCCACTCACTGTGGCCGTGCAGCAGGTGCGTATAAGTGCCCATGGTATAAAAGGGGCTATAGGGCTCAGCTGCAGAAACCAATACGGGATTCCACCGAAACGGGGCAACCAAAAACGCTAAAAGGGAAACCCAGCAAACAGAGTAAATACGGCTAATCTTAGACCTTATTCCTTTTCTGCCCTGCTTCTTTAAAGGTGGGAAAACAACGGCAAACGAGGAAGAAAGCTAAGCACGCTTTGTAAAACGTACGTAAGCGCCTCTTCTTCCGTTGCCTCCCAGGCGGCGGCATGTCAGGAACTTGAAGATCCGGTGGCGGGGGGAACTCCACAATGAAGTTCTCAGTGCCCAAACTGGGGTGCCGCACCTCAGCCGGGGAGGATGCCTGCGCAACCGCGACCCTGACTGCGTTTGGCCTAGCCACAGGTGCTGGTTTGTCCTGTACGGATTTCGGCGGCGGCATCCAGTCCCCACAAAGGAGGTTTTTGAACTCGGCATGCTCCAGCACACGGGAGTTGGGCAGGTACCACGCCGTTGTACGACCCACAGGCGGGGCATATTGCAATCCAGGGTCGACGGTCATCCCTCCTCCCTTTGGACCCCCGCCTTCTTCGTTGCTCTCTACTGAGCCTACGGGCGCCGCACGGAGGTCTGGAACTGGTGACAGCGACTTCGCCCGCAGAGCCAGAAGGGTGGGCAAGGCCGCAGTCGCAATCTTCGGGGGAGGGCTGGGCACAGCAGCGGCCGTCACACCCCCCGCATTATGCGTGGGACTACGCGCCTTCTCCTCTTCATCCTGTGAAGACTTATCGCCCCCCGCTTCGCAAGTCAAGTTTTCTGCTTCGGTCTTTATACTGCGAACATCCAACGACTTTTCACTCTTTTCCTTCTTTTTTCCCTCTCTACTGGAGGTGGCCTCCGAGCACGGCTTGTTATGGCTTCCACCGTCGTGAGAGCGGACATCCGCCGATGAAGATGCTCCGCTCGCGCGTGTCAGGCTCAGACTGGAGGTGGACGACGCTGCAGCTACTGACGACGGCACCCGTTTCGTAAACGTCTCGTCACGCTCAATTGTAAGGGGTCTGCCACCGGTGACATCCTCCGTTGCGGTCCCCGTCTGAACCCCCGCGTCCAAGCACTTTTTTGCGGGTATCGTGGGGAATGGTCGAAGTTGCTGCTGCTCCTCTTGCTGCCGTGCAGACAAAAACATCCCGTCAGCGGGCCGCGGCGACTGTAGCGGCGGAGCCCGCTTGACGACAGGCTCGGCGCGCTGCATCCGCGGCCCGCTGGCATGTGGCGCGGTGGTGGTAGCTCCATTCCAAAAGGTTTGCGGCGGCGCCCCGCCAGCAGCACGGCCCCCGACGTACGCACTAATACGGTTCATCCCGTCCACCACGTCAGCGGGTTTGTGGACGACGTACTCGTCTAGGCTGTGAACACCGGCCCGCTGGAAAGCGAGCTCCCGCGACGTGGAAAGGCTCGGGCTCCGCACCTCCTCGGCCTGGTCCGCCACCAGTAGTGAGGGACTCTTCTGCAGCTCCCGCGCCAACTGCGCCTTCTGCAGCGCCAGCGTCTGCTCCCTCTCGTGCAGCTTGCGATCCTCGTTGAAGCCGCGCTGCAACGGCGGCGCAGCCGCGCCGCCGCAGTCGCTCTCCTCGCCCGTCAAGGGCTCGCTTGGCAGAACCGGCAACCGCTCGCCACCCCGCAGGGATCCCGACCACGCCGACCCCTTCGTGCCGTTCAAAGGCTCTGCGGCGTCGCACTGCGGCCCCCCTGCCAGGCTGAAGTGTGCAGGTGACAGCAGCCGCCGCCTGCTCTGCATCTGCAGCAAACGCGCGAACCGCACCACCTGCTTCTCGCCAAGCTCAACAGGCTTCTCCTACCACTCGCACGCAGGCGCTGAGGAAGGGGAAAGAAAGACAGGGAGAGAAAGCGGGCAGGCTCAGCAGCACTGGCGGCAAGCACATACAAAATGAGCTCCGTGCAACAAATCGCCGGCAACGAAAGCCATTGGGACCTACGGCCGAGGAAAACAACAAGAAACCCAAAAAAGCACAAGAGATAAACAACAGCAGCAGCAACAAACAAAGAAACAAAGACAAACGCATACATCCAAAACAGCACACAAACAAATCTGCAAAGCATGCAACTTAGAATTAAACAACACACGCATGTGGAATATGTCTACGGACTAGTCTCTCTCTGTACAGAAAAACACATTAAAAAATGACAACAAATAAATGAAAACAAAAAGAAAAAAGGCGGGTCGGCGCGCCGCTCCATCCGGGGACTCACAAAAGTAGCGTCAGGTGCGTGTTAGAAACTGGGGAACGGCGTGGGCAGCATACCTCCCCCTCCCCCAACATGGGCAGCTTTGTTGTGTGCCATTCCAGTCCAGCTCCAGACAGATATAACCAAGTTGCAGTCTCGTCTTCGGTTCCTCCCCGCCTTTCATTTATCCTGTGTTTTGCTGTTGTCGTTGTTGTTGATCTCTCCAGCCCTTTTCCCATCTCCTCAGCTTCTTCTTTCCTACGAGGGCACATCGGCCTCCATCCAAATGCGGGCACGAAATGTCTTGTACAGGTCGCGTACGAGCGTTCTAAAGTCCAACCGCTGCTGCGACTGGTAGTAGAAGGTAAGCTTCTTCATATCAAACTGGTACTCGGCGTCGACGATGAGCATCGGAAGGCCGTGTTCCTCCACCTTATTCTGCGCCACCTCCACCGCCCGCTCCTCCAACTCCGCCTGCACGTTATTCAGCTGCGACACCTCCAATGCACTGGCCACGCGAAGCACGCTGCTCGCCCCCTCCCCCCACTTCTTGTCCCCATTGTGGTCACACTCGTCAAGCGCCCAGGAGTGCTTCACAAGCCCAATGTCCTCGCCACGATCGCCGCCAACGACAACGTACTCGCCGGGGGCAACGTACGTTTGCGACTCCAGCAAGGCAAAGCGTTTGCGTTTGAACACCACAATCACTTTGCATGGCAGAGAACGATCCTGCGGTGGCGAGAGGCTGCGCCGTTCTTCCGGAATGGAGTCCAGCGTCGGTCGCGCGCGTGCACCGGCCCCCCACTCCCCGCCCGGGCCGCCCTGCCACGCCGCCAGGCTTTCTCCGCCTACTTCAGTGAGGAAGTGGTTATCGTGGAGCGTCGCACGATTCACCGGCGGCGAGGCCATTGACGGCGAGACCATCGTCGTCTCATCTTTGATGCACTTTGGTCGGCTGGGCGTCGTCAGCGCCGCGTCGAGCGTGACGGCGTCAGCCCCCTCCTGGCGGGAACTCGCGCCGGCGTTGAGGAATCGCGCCAGCTGATCGAAGTGCTGCGTAAACGTACTGCGGGCGGCGTGCAGCTGGGTGAGTTGCCTGAAGTAGTACACATCCACCAGCCGCCGTGTCGCCTCTATTTCGTCCAGGATGGCCACACTCATCGCAAGCCCGTCCGCTTTCTCTGAGGTCATCCCTTTCTTAATAATAAGAGTATGTATGCTTCTTGCCGGCTATTCCTCTCGTTCTCTCTATCTCTCTCTCTGTGTGTGTGTGTGTGTGCGTATATGTGTGTGATTCCTTCCACTTGCTGCTGTGGTGTATACGCATGCAGAGGCACTTTCTTCTCCAAAGGCCCTTCTCCCTGAGCTTCAGGGGAAAAGGCAACAATAATCTATCTTATCCACCGTTCCCTTCTCTGCTACGAAACAGCAAAACACGGATGACAAGAAAGAGTAAATAATAATAATAATAATATAGGCACGGCCTGCAAAGGGAAACACCCAGACGCAAGGAGAGGGACTACACGCGGCAACTAACATCAAGCACATGAAGCGACTTCCCTATCGACTATGGTGTCTCCCTTTTTGTTACGTGCAGCACAAGAGCCACCAGCTTGGGTTTCCGGGAGCGAAAAGGCGCAAATGAGTGGGCACGGGGCCAGACCCACACAACGCCTCTCACCACACGACAAGTGGATCCCTGTCCTCCGTGGACACTATGACGCGCACATCCTTCTGCAGCCGCGCTTGCAGCCTTGGGAGCAGCTCCTTCGCCAGGTACCCCCGCTCCGTGTTGGTGTGCTCGCAGAGAATGACCGCCTGCCCTACGGCATTGGCGGCGAGTACTTCATGATGCCCCATCTCTCCGCTCAATAGGACATCCACGTGTTCTTTTAGCCTACGAAACACGCCGGAGCCACTCCCCGCGCAGATAGCAACCGAGCGTACAGGGGTGGCGCTGCACCACCCGTGCGGGAGCGACACACGAGCAGTGGGAATTCCCAAGCCGGCTTTTACGTCCTTCACCAACCCGGCCATTGTCTTTGGCTGATGAAGTGCCACAAGGCGACCGATTCCCACGGGTGCATCGGCATTAACATTTTCGCTGCAGCTAGTGTTATCCTGTTTACTCCCGCCCTCGCAAGGCAGGATGGGGCGAGACACACCGTCGCTGTCAACGATAGACGCAAGCCAGTCGTTGATGCCGCCCGCCGCGGCATCCAGTGCGGTGTGCGGGGAGTAGATGGATGCCCCGCAACGCACCGCCTGCAGAAGAATCTTCTGCTTTGGGTCTGCCAACGTGAGCCGCTTAAGCGGCGCGAAGATGGGCGGGTGGTACGCGACGATCACCTCGGCGTTGTGTCGGCGGCACTCCTCCATCACCTCCGGGGTGAGGTCAACGGTGAGGAGGACGACGCCCGAGTTGTTGCTGGCCGGCGACTCCACGAGGAGCCCGACGTTGTCCCAGGACTGATCGGCGAGGCACAGCGGCGCAATCTCGCCCATTGCCGCCACCACCTGCTTAATCAGGGACGCCATCCCGGCGGGAGCCAACTTCGCCCCGGTCAAACTCGTTTTTTTTTTGACTTTTAATATAAATGCCTCTACGTACGTAGATGCGTAAATCTCTCTGCGCCGTTGCTATTCGCTTCACTTGTGGCGACACACCCAACCAACCACACGCAAAGGGGATAAACACACACACACACAGAGAGAGAGAGAGAAGATGGGCAAGAGTAACCAACGCAGGGGAGGCAGCGACACAACAATCATCAGACGCATCGGCACGCACCCGTGCGGCGCTTGCATGCCTGTCGACGGCGGGAGGGGGAAATTAAAAATTAATGGTTGGCGAAAATAGACGTATATTTCGCAGCGTGACCGCAGAGCAATAATGCATTATCGGAAAAATACATTAGAAAAAAAGAAAAGAAAGGAGAGAAGTTTAAAATACTGAGAAGAATGCATTTTGCTCACTTGTTGCATTCAACAGAGGGCAAAATAGTAAAAAAAAATCAACACAAAGACTGGCCCCACTCACCTGGCGCACATCACATTCCTTGCAGATGAAACTAACAAGGGCCAAGGACACCGGCGAGTGCCCGGAGACACCGCCGCCGCCGTCCGCCCCCGTTGAACGAACCCTTGACGATA